TATAGCGAGTAACAGAGGAAATAAAAATCTACAAGAAAGTAGAAATGTGTCTGAAAAGGGGCATTATAAATAGCTTGAGAGTAATTTCTTTAGTAACTGAGGATTAAGACAGGTGATTTCTAAAATTATTTCATTTACTGATGGCTGTCTAACGAGCCAGACTGCTGAGGTTCAACTTCTTCATTATCCAGCTCCATTCTGCACAAATGATTCTGATATTTAATACTAAATAACATAAAGAGAATTAAAATCTGCATAGCAACACTATATAATATTGGAATAGAAATATTTCTGTTACTTAAATATAGCGAATAACAGAGGAAATAAAAATCTACAAGAAAGTAGAAATGTGTCTGAAAAGGGGCATTATAAATAGCTTGAGAGTAATTTCTTTAGTAACTGAGGATTAAGACAGGTGATTTCTAAAATTATTTCATTTACTGATGGCTGTCTAACGAGCCAGACTGCTGAGGTTCAACTTCTTCATTATCCAGCTCCATTCTACTTGGATGGAACATCAAAGGCAGCTATTAAAGACTGAGACTTCTAATTGCATTCATAGTACATCGATCGTGGACTAACAATCTCGAGATCCAAGTTATAAAGTTTTAACGAACCCAGTAAACCCAGCACTTTCTGACACACAGATCGATCTTCGAATTTACTATTCATATCACAATTTCGGATAAAGTGAACACAGAGGGAACATCCGAAATGTAAATTGCGAATTTTCAAGCAATTTCTCAAATGCCAAGTTGCCCAGATGACACAAGTATAATCATCTAATTAAATACCAAATTGATATCACATTTTAGAAAACTCTATCCTTGGTGTGTAATCTTTATCTGATTAAAAATATCATACTTTCTCAAGCAAATGTGGCGAAAAGCCATCGATCATCGACTCTTTGATTATTATAGAAAAATTACATTCTCTATTGTCGATTATATTTACTTCTGGAAAATCTGACTTTTACATTCTGTACGATGTAACGACGATCGAGACTTCACTGTGTCGATTTCAGGACATACCATTCCAGTAAATCATCGACCATGAATAATTGCCGTCTGTTTTCTGATCGTTCTGCTCGATAAGGAATCCCCACGTTACCCACGCATAATCGCATTACGTTACGTTAAAATCCGCTAATTTATAACCGTCTCGTTAGGATAAAGCGTTTATCGTCCCGTATACCGATCCATTCGCATCAATATTAAATAATTATCCTCGACGAGAATCAATGCCTTCTGGTCACTGAATGAGATGTATTGATGATCAAAGAGACATCAAATTTGTTGCTTTACTATACAAATATTTCGTTTCAACTGATAGGAAGAATAAATTGAATCTCATTATTATCGTTATATATTTATACTGATGCACACGATTGAACGAAATTTATGAATAATACGAGGCGATATACGGAGTGTAAATATTGGTGCTGCTGGCCAAGTTCCATAGTTTTCGAACAGCTCGACTTGAAATTTTTATTTGAAATTTTACTCGAAAACAAAACACATTATTTTTCGAGTGTAAAACGCTGTGTTATTTTATTACCAATTATTGTATAACACACAATGAATTAAATTTTCAAAATGTTCTTGCAAAATTTCCCGGAAGTTTCAAATATTCTTCATATTTTTACGTTGCTCGAAATCTCAAATCTCAAACTCTAGGATCAAATTTCTCATGTTGCGTCGCAGATCGTGCAATTTACAGGATTTATCGTTATTTAGTATCAATGTGAAAATATCTAGGGCATGCAGGTAGTTTTCACTACAGTACTGAAAAAGTCTGTCGTAAAAATCGACTGTTGGACTAATTTCCATCTTCTTTCACAAACAGTAGATTCTATTTCGCTGCGGGCTAATTGTAACTAATTAGGAAATAACGAGGAATTATCAGAAATAGAACTTAACGATTCTACGTAATAATAATATTTCTACGGTGAAATTGATTGATTACATTATAATGCTTAAACATTTGAAATTTAACTAAGAAGATTAATGTCTAACATGTGTGGTACCTACAATCCATGATAGTTGTCACAAGTATATACATACAATTTTCATTGCATGCGTACAGATATTTCTTAATTCTGTTGCACAAGCAAAGTAGGTGTAAGCACAATCGCTTTTCTAAATTGACGCTTTGAAACGTATGTCGAAATACGTTCTAATGCAACCACCTGTCTGCAAAGGAAAGGAATTTAACGAATACAAGCGATAAACATTAGCAAAGCATTAGAAATATTAAATATTCAAAAATTGCAAGGAAAACGAAACTTATGACATTAGTTGTACCAATTGAAATTCTCGACGTTTTACTCCTTCCTAGTCCTTTTATCATTTTATTGTAGAAACAGCTAAGCTTCTAAGTTCAATTGTATTAATTAAATATACAGTTTGATGCAATTTTCTTTCAGATTGCTCAAACGCTTAATCGTGTATCGCCACTTACATTCATCGATATAATTTAACATCTTACGACAACTACTTTCATTATTTTGTAACTCGTACTACTTAACATTCAGAAACCGAATTCAAAACCCCTCCATCTTAATTGTTCGACAGACACTTCACTGATCTTTTTCGTATAAACGACTGTAATTCCTATCACTCTGGCCATCTATCTTGAAATTTCTGCGAATTACAAACACTTTCAAATATTCATTAATTCATTTATTAATTCGATACAATTTAGAAGCCAGCAAAAGCGCGCAGCTGCGAGTTCCCAAACCGCACTACATAGATAAATAAGTAAAATAAATAACTACTTAACAAAACCGCGCATAAATTCACCGTGGATTCAATCGAAATATACAGTAGCGTATATGTACGTCGTCCGGATTCAATCAAAATATACGGAACGTATATATACGCTGGCCGGATTCAAAGGACTAGGAAACAGCGTAAACAGTGAAATCGTTTGCTCGCATCGTGCTAAGCAAGAGCCACTGTTTACATTTCTACGTATACAAATTCTTCCAAAAAGTTATTGGTAACGAGAAGTTTGAAAAATTCAGGGATATCCTAATTATCGAGTAATCAACTAAATTAGAATATTTGACAAGAGCTATATAATAAAATTTAATTGAATTGTAAAGTATTATAAATGCTATTGGTACAATTACATATAACCGTATTGTCTATACTATATATAACTATACTACATGATTACTTTTAAACAAAATCTACTATCAACCAATTATTCAATGGAATAACTGACCCCTTATAATATTTCTGCCTATAATAAAAAGAAACGACGTAATTACGAGAGGTTCAACCTTCAATTGTACGCTTCAAAGCCTACAACGCCATCATACTCAATAAATTACTCAAACACAGTCTACGGTTCAACACCCAACCTGAACGCCAATCATTCCCATAAATACATTCCTAACATATCTAACCTTTACATTCTACCTACACCATCCAGCAAACGCCGCTTTATGTATTTGCGTTCGTCAACTAATATCGACTAAACGAGAACTTTCGCTGCTACCGAATATTCACCTGACAAACGGAAACGCTTTCTACGCGTTACAAATAAGTCGCGTGAACGCGTTTCGTTAGGCACGCGCACAAATTCAAAACAGACTGCAATGGTAACGTATAGTTAGCGTCACGAAAGTATTTGGTCGATCGTAGAGATGTTTTATTGATCCTTACTAATATAATAATTCATTATTATATAATTAAATTGTTATTATATTATGAAGGTAACATGAACGAGACCCAACTATCGCGACTACGTCGATAAAATTTGAAAGAAATATGCAAAGAGTTTATTTAAAATAAACTTCAACATTGGGTGCAACTATCTTTAACGATTGTTATACAGGGTGGTTGGTAACTGGTGGTACATGCGGGAAGGGGGTGATTCTATGCGAAAAAGGAAGTCGAAAATATAGAATAAAAATGTTTTTTTTAATTTTTCCATCAAGACAACGATCTACAGTGAGATCCGTTATAACGAGACGCGATAAAGTGCACGCGTACCGAGCGAAAATTCAAAGTCGATTTTCTCGGAAACAAAGCCTCGAGCGAAAAATTGTTATTCTATATTTTCGACTTCTTTTTTCGCCTAGAATCACTCCCTTTCCGCTTGTACCACCATTTACCAACCACCCTGTATAAATATGTAATATATTGTTTATTTTTGCAATTATTCTGATGTGTAAGCATCAATAGATAGTGGATTTTTATGCAATTTTATAATAATAATAATAATTTATTTTTCAGCTCTTCGATTATGAAAAAAGACTTGGTTTACGATTGTTATTTTTATTTGTCTTGCACTTTTAATCGTAAAACTTTTATGCAATTTTATATTTTTATCAATATAACTAGCGATTTGTCTCGTGTATTTAATTTTATGACAAGTTTCCTACTTTAGATGTTTTATACATTTATGCATATTTTTTTTCATTCATGGAGCTCTAAAAAATGTTCTTATGAAGAGTCATATATATCGTTTTACATTATCTTTCACATAAAATTCTTACATTGTAACTTTACTAGGTATATGAAGTATATCTCAAGGTATATGAAATTTTAAACATTAATTGTAGAAAATATAGAGGAAAATTACATCTTTTCAAAGAACGATGTGCATGAGAGCACATTTCAATGCGTGTATTCTCTGTATTTTTGAGTCTTCAAACTTCTCATACATGCATATAAATCCGTATTCTAATCATCATCAAAGTATCATTCTAGAAAGACATCAAAGTTCAATTTTTTATCAATTAAAATTTCATTCTGCATACTCTCTTAACTTATTTTATCTTTTTATTATTAAAAAATTGTTATTCTATATTTTCGACTTCTTTTTTCGCCTAGAATCACCCCCTTTCCGCTTGTAGCACCAGTTACCTGTATATTTAAGACCATTGCATTCGCGCTGTGAAATAATTTTTTACCAAATATATGTTTGCGTTTTTCAAAATCCACGATATGTACAAACGACGAAATTATTTACCACAAGCTTCACAGAAATTACCAAAGTATTTGAACACTCAATTACTCGCTATCTCGGTACTACCCAAACAATACTTAGCGAGACTATCTTTAACACAAATTATATGCTCAAGGCTACGACTCGTGCGGTATATATTAACATTCTATGAAATACATATTTCTGATAAATATCTTCCAACTTCTATATAAATTGTCAGATCGGTTTCAAATTTGACCAGTATAATCGGAGCAGACGTATCCCGTTACATTGAAATTTCGAAATGTATTATGCAACACGTACACGATATACGCATACATCAATGTTTCCTATCGCGAGTGTTCAAATTACTTTCGTCGGCTACTGTATATGTGCGAGCGACAAAGTAAATCTGTATTCATAGAGCACGACAGGACGACGAGAGGCGATTCAATAGACCAGCCACGGACGAGTCGAACAAATCGAACGGAGGATGCTTTATATAGCGAAAGAACGCGTATATCGCGTATTGCGTCTTCGAATGGACAGTCCTCGGACGGAAACCGCGTCGCGTTGATTTATAATGCGATACCTATTGACGGCTGTCCATGGAAAACAAGGTGCGTGTGTAAGGCCTTACACGTATACACGTACGTTTTATTCTTTATGTATCGCGTGCGCGGAGACAATGACGATCTTTCGCGCGCGCTCAATACTCGATCGAAATTCGTTTCTTTCTGTAGGTAAATGAATGTGTCTGTATGCAAGGTTATTGTGCGAAGTGTTCAGTTGAAATCTGGGGTAAAATAACCAGACGTCTATAATGCCGCTGTCCGCAAGAGACTCAAAGGGGAGATGGATTTACTTGGCTTATTCCGAAATTGGGTATCGGTAATTGATTTGACGTGGATTGAAGATGTTTGAGGAATTGAGTTAGCGTTTCTCTTGGTCTTTTTTTTTGGTTTTTTTTTTTGTTCTTCGAACGAATAAAGGAATACTTTAGGGCATGAAAGATAATAATTGAGATAATGAAAACATTTCATGATAATATGGGTGATTATTTAACGTGTTTGAAATAGATTGAATAGGTTTGAAGATCTGAAGTTTTGGAATAACGAAATATCTTTCTTGCACAGTAATATAATTTCCATTGCTTGTTCCTTTCGCCTTCTTTACGCGGTACAGGTGCAATTGGCGTAATTTCAGGTAAAAAAGTAGCGAAAAGAAGCAATCGACGGAAGCCAATTTATCGTTGATCGAAGTCGATCTACGTGAGAAATAACAAACGAAACAGCGAAAAAAGGATTTGAGTAACCGCAATGTGGATAACTTATCGGAAGTAAAACTTGCAGCGAAGAAAAAATGGAAAAGTAAAAAGACTGGAAGATAAAGTCGTGACGAATGGAAAAAAGGTCTGGTGCATCGACAATGATCATGTTACTACGTCGGAAATTCTGTCTTCAATTGAAGATAACATCTACTACTGCCTACGATCGTGCGGTAAGTTGCTTAAGTTGCAAAGCAAGAAACTGCACAGGGGAATCACGTGCAACGTGATTAGGAAATTTTCCTTGGAGAACAAATCAGAAGGAAATGGTAGCTGACGAGTTTAAGTTAAACGAACCTAATGTTACGTTTACGAGGAATAAATGTCTCAATTAAGAAAAAGGTTTATTCTGTTGATAAAACAAGCGCGAAAGAATACACAATTAGAGAATCGTATATTTACTGTCTATGTATTATCTTGATTATTAAAATACCTGTAAAAAATATACTATTTGCTTAATTAATTAACACATGGGAGAGTTTTGTCGTAGTCTAAATATTTTTATATTAAAATGTAATTGGAGAAAAATATCTTTTTAAAATTTTAAATGTGCAATTTAAATACCGTACAAAATCTGTAGTGTAATACACTGAGGAATAACGTTATTAGAAAAATTGCAATTTTTTCTTAAATCTGTCAGGCTTCTAAAATTCTTCAAACTTTTGGGCTATCGAAAATTTTCTGCAGTTTTTTTTTTATTAAAAATAACTATATTATTATGTAAAATTAAATTTATATCGATATCGTTATGTACCTTGGTATATTAGTCCTTTATTTTAGACATTACATTGCGTGCTATATTCATAATTATACTTAATTATTCCTGATGCTTATTAAGAAGATATCGCAATAGAAAGAGAAAAAGGAACAATAGACGAGTTTGTTTTCGCTAGTACTTTTCTATCATTAAATAAGAACGTAAATACTTGGACGAAGAACAAAGATAAGCATAAGGCATAAAATAGCAAGGCACGTCGCAGTCTGCACAAGGTAATCATGGTGCACGCATAGGCATGAGAAAAATGCATATATTTTTAATGTATGTAGAATCATCAATTCAAGGATACTCGAGAACGCCGCTACGAAATTCTCTCTCGCTCTAAAATTCTTTCAAGCCTCGTTTCAGCCGAAAGAAAAATTTCATTTGCATACTCTGTCACGTTATATGTATACGTGACGATATGCGCGATACAAATTAAATTCGCCCCGAGACGATTTGGAAATGTTAACGAGAAACTTCCGCATTCCTTGTTACCTTTTTCATCAACAGAGAAGAATTCCATAGCATCGTTAAAATTACATCGCACTTTCCCTCTTTTTTTATAGAAACATCTGTGTCTGATATTATTTATAGAAAAAAACTTTGTAAAATATTATTTATCAAGTTATTTATAAACAAAGAGATACTATTGGCAGAAAAATTTGCAATTATATGGCGAATTCACGCGGTAAAATTACCGCCATAATTTCTTATCCGAGAAAAAACTTGCGCTTTTCATCGTAAAATACGCATGAACGATACTATCATAGAATATATTTAGGAAACAGTAAAAAAACGATAAAAACTGTTCAACCAATTATTTATTGATTCGTCGATTTCAAAGAAACGATAAGAAACAGTTAAGTTTAGCCTCATTTCAAAGCTGAATAGTATCGCTTGCGCAAACACGAACGTTTCATTTTGAGATAGAGCCAGAGTGGCAGAAAAAATTGATTTAAATTTACTTATCCACGCGATTAAAGCCTTTATTGCTGAATAGACATCGCGTGATAAACTCATTGCAAAATGTAATTAGAAATAATAATTTTTTACCAGCAAGTATGCAACGTTATAAAAATATCGATCATAAAGCTGCACTACTTTCGTTCGAAAATTGCTGCTAATTTATACGGCTGTAATATTCAAATGCAGAACATTACAGCACCGTTATAACGCCTCGTAAAGCCTCCATTAAAACGCTTCTATTATTAGCATCCACCAATACGTTCATTCCATTAACATTTCCATTAGGATTATTATCGGGAATTAAAGAAAAAAATCCGGCACTCAATGAGGCTCGTACAATAGCCTCGATAAAGAGAATCGAATTACGCGTTCCAACAGCCGGAAGGCATATTGGACACTTCCCCCAACGAATCAAAATCATTTTCGTTCGGAAACTCGAAAATAATATTGCCTTCTCGATCCTTACCGGAAATTACCTTCGTATTTTTCGTTACACCGTTAATTTAATTTAACGTTCGCAAGACGATCCTGAGAAAATTCGACAAAAATTGCCAAAAGCTTAGGAGAACTAACGAGTTTGCACATAAACTATAGATACCTATACTTTAAAATAAAAAAATATTTTTTTGGAATATATTTCACTGTACATTTTTGATTCGTGTAATATCCTTAGCATGTTTTCCATTTACTTATTGCTACTGCGAATAATATCATAATTATACTGATCCAATCTAAAAAAAATATGCTAAAAGTTGGCATCGAATTAATACAGCCAAGTACCGTTGGCGTAATACTATAAATAATTTTGTCGCAGTGCGATATGCGAAAAGTTTTGAGCGTTGAAATTCAAAAACCACTCCACCTTCTCCAATTCTTTCCATGTCCTCGTCTCTGTTATTGTTCCGCTGGAAAACTACGATACAACAGGAAATTCTACTTGAATTAATTCCCCGTCCAATCTTTTGTGCAATTTCATCGCACAATGTAACCCCGCTTCTATAGACGACGCGATAAAACGAAATTTAGAAGCGAACAGCATATTCCGTAAGTGCGCTGTACAATGAAATCTCGATAAATAGAATACAGAGAGAATTAAACGGTGCTCGCTACAGATACCGCAAATACCACGTAATGCCACGATATTCTGATTCGAACTGTTGCTAAGTACTAAATCCTGTACAACAACCCACTTGGAAATTCCACTTAATCCCGCAAGCGCAGATACGAATACAGAAACGTCTACGTAAACAGTAGAACAGACCGTGTGAGTACACAAACGCCCTCGAAATTTCCCGGTCGACTAAACCTAATCTTCGCGTTAATCTCCAAACCTTTCCACGGCAAGAATTTACCACCATAATCATATCGTAACACCCCGAAGGGGCGCCTAACAGGAAAACCGCTGCGCCGTTAAAATGCACATGGTCCGCCTAGAAATCACGACCAGACAAATTTTCCACGTTAAACGTTCGTGCACGCGTTTTTTCAGGCGTGTAGACCTTCCACGAAACTGTTTTTAAAAGGCTGAGAGAGCGAAGATAGGGGAAGGGAGAACAGTTTACCCACATCTTCTCTCTACCTGCGCGTTTCCGGTGATTTAAAGAGCCCGACCTGCCTCAAGCGTGAAGCGTGCACGCTTGCACATATATATACACACTACTCGCCTCCTTGTCTCGCCTCATCCCCCTTTTGCTTTAGGCTCGAGCCGATCGGCAGG